AAATATTGATAGCTTTTGGGTGTCTCAGTGGTCAGTTGATTGAGCGTCAGACTTTAGCTCAGGTCATGATCTAGTGGTTCATGAGTTGGAGCCCCACATCGGGCTCCCTGCTGTCAGCACTAAAGCTGTCAGTGCAAGACTGCTTTGGATCTTCTGTCCCCCTCTTTCTGCCCCTCCCCCCTTTCTCAAAAATAAACATTTGAAAAATATTGATAGCTTTATTTAAATTGCATGCCATATTTAGGAATAGCTTCCCCCCCACAGTAGGTATTTTTAAAAAATAAAGGATCAGCAAAGACATATGTATATAGAACACCCTCTATTACTAAGGCCAAGTGTGTGTGTCCATGCAGTGCACATTGAAATTGGGTATTTATTAAATACTAAATAAATCAATGTTCTTGGCATTTAAATTCAAGTTTGTTTTTTTTAACTTTATAAATGTAGTATATTCCTTGTTATTTTTAGATTAATTTTTTTGATTATTGTTTCTTTGTTCTTTGTTTCTTTCCCTAAAGTTCTGTACAATGACCAGAGAGTCACACTGCCACTTCAAAACCAGTTGTGATAAGGTTATGGATGTGGTTCACTGTAAGACATAATAGCCAACTTTTCTGTGCCTCAAGGGGAGGAAATTTGTTGGAATGGCTTTTCTTTGTCAGTTTCTGTCAGGCTGATCTGACTGCAGAACACAAAAATTGAATTACCTTTCCAAGTTGAGGGGTAAAAACAATGTAAAACACAGCGATACACAGAATAAAATATGATTTCTATCTCTGATATGTTACTCTGTTCAGATGTGGGCCTGAAATTATTCTTAAATAGAATTATTCTGCTCATCCTAAAAGTTTCTACCGAATTACTATATGTATAAGCTAACTTTATAAAAATAATTCAATAGTTGTAAAGGTATGGGGAATCATGTCTTGAAAGAAAAGTTCTATGTATAAAAGCTATAGACATTGTTAGATGTTTTAGAATTTGGGGTTTTTGTTTTAACTGACAACTGTCAGTATGGCTTTAGGGTTAAACTATTCTAATTTTCTGGGAAAAAAAACACAAAGAATTGCCTGGATTTAGATGTAACATATAGAATATAAAAATATGAAATGTATTTAAAACAAATGTAGTACTTTTTCATTGGCAGGGAAAAACAGTTGTGAAGAGTAACTCATTTTAAAAAATACGGCTGACTGCTTCAGATTCTTTATCTCCCAATCTCTCTGACCCTGCCCTGCTTTCTCTCTCTCTCTCAGAAAAAAAAAAAAAAATGCAGCTGAATTTCACAGTTCTACTTGTATGTGATCTTTTGGAAACGTTGATTCAGTTAAAAATGGCTTTAGAGTGAAGTAGAAGGAGTAGGCTCTGTCTCTGCAGTTAATCTCGAAATGAAGGTGGTATAGATTTACATAATTCAGTTAAGGGCCAAAGCAGTATTGTGAGATATTTTGGTGGTTTACGTCAGAAGACCAGCTGAAGCATTTGCTAATTTAGTTAAGGAGTGAGGCTGTTTCTGGGATGCTGAAGGAAAGGGTGTTACTCCTCTGGCTAAAAAGGAGAGTTCAGCGACTGCCCAGATCACTTATAGGGAGAAGATCCAGCTGTATTAAATGGTCCTCTCTGCAGCCCCAGGGAAGGTGCCAACACCATTAGTAGGGAGTAGTATGCAGAAGAATAAGGTACAGGACAAGACAGAGGACCCAGGTTCCAGACTGATTTCACCTCTGATGGACAAGTAGTGTTATTTTGAGCAATCCACTGATGTATTAGATTTTGAGTTTTTTCAGCTGTCGTACGGCTGCTTGGAATAAATCTCTGAAGGCCTCTTTCTGCTGTGTCTGATTTTGTGAACTTTTTTTTGGTATGAAACACCTGATGGTTTCTGACAATACAGTTTTTTTCAATGTATGTATTTCTTCTGAAAGCTTTATTATTGAGCTATAATTTACATACCATGGTTTTATGTACGTTAAATACATGGTTTGATGAATTTTAGTAAATTTTTATAGCTCTGCAGCATCCTAAAATTTAGATTTAGAAATTTCTGTCACACCAAAAAGTTCCCTTGTGCCCATTTGTAATCCGTTCCTACTTTAACCCCAGTCCCAAGTAGCCACTGATCTGCCATCTCTAATTTTTTGGGTTTTTTTTTTCTAGGAATATAAATAGCTTCTTTAGCATAATGGTTTTGAGGTTCATTAATGTTTTTGTGTGCATCATTAGTTTATTTTTGTCTATTGATGAGTTGTAGTTCTTTGTATGGATATGTACTACATTTTTTTAATCCATTTATTAGTTAATGGACAATTAAGTTGTTTGGGGGCAAATACGATTGTGACCATTTGAATAGTCTTTCTGTGGACATACGGTTTCTTTCCTCTTGGTTGGGTAATAGAAGTGCACTTGCTGGATTGTGTATGTATATATGCTTATTTAACATTTTTGGAAACCGCCAAATTGTTTTCCACAAATGGCCGTGCCATTTTACAGTTCTGCTGTCAGTGTTTGAAGGTTCCAGTTCTCCACATTCTCACTAATGTTTGGTATTGTCAGTCTTTTTATTATAGCCATTCCAGTGGGAGTGTCATGGTATGTCATTGTTGCTTTAATATTGATTTCTCTGATGACTCTCTTGAGCATCTTATGTGCCTATTTGCCATGTAGTAGTTCATCTTTATAGATTGGCTATGTAAACTTTTTGCCCATTTTACAAGATTACATTGAGTTATAAGAATTCTTTATACCTTTCAGACATGAGTTCTTGATCAGATTAATGTTTTGCAAATATTGTCTTTTAAGTTTTCTTAGTGGTGTCTTTTGAAAAGGAAACATTTTAAATTTTGATGAAGTGCAAATTATTCATTTTTTCCTTTAATGGATTTCCCTTTTGATATTGGATCTAAGTCTAAGAAATCTTTGCCTAACCCAAAGTCACAAAGATTTCTCTTATGTTTTCTTGTAAGAGTTTTGTAAGTTCAGCTCTTAGGATGAGGTCTGTGGTTCATTTTGGCTTGAAGTAAAGTTCTAAGTTCATTTGTTTTTGCATATTGATATCCACCTGGTTTAGTACACTTGTTGAAAAGATTGCCCTTTCTCTACCAAGTTACCTTCATACCTTTGTCAGAAACCAATTGAATACATATGTGGGCTTATTTCTGAACTCTTTTCTGTTCCATTGAACCATATAGAGACATAGGTGTAGATATAGGATGTAAAGATTTAGATATAGATACAGGTTTGCCATTACAGTATATCACACTGTCTCGATTGCTATAGTATTATAGTTTACTATAGTATGTAAATTTAAAATCAAGTTAAATTAGCCTCTCAAATGTCTTTTCCATTACCGTGTTCTGGTTGTACTGTGTCCTTTGCATTCCATATACATTTTAGCCTTAACTTGTTAATTTCTGAAAAAGGAAAATACTAGAATTTTGGTAGAGACTGATTGAATCAGTAGATCAATGTTGGCTTAACCAACTGAACCACCCAGGCACCCTGAATAAGTAGATCAATGTTGGGAGAATTGACATCTTAACAGTATTGAGTCTTCCACTCCATGAACATGGTCAGTCTCCTAGTTTATTTAGCTTTCCTTTAAATTTTATCAGTGTTTCTATTTTTTAGTGTACTGGTTTTGAATTTTTTTAAAAATTTATTCCTAAATGTTTTAATCTTTTTGATGCTGTTATTAAGTTTTTAAAATTTCATTTCAGATTATTTGTGACCAGTATGTGGAAATATAATTGATTTTTGTATTCTGTGACGTTAACTCCCTTACCAGTTCTGGTGGGCTTTTCTTGTTGATTCCTTGGGATATTTTACCCACAAGATCATGTGTAGTCCTTGAAAATTGTGTTTGTGGAAGTACACATTACTTATTCTAGAATGATGTTGCCACAGCCCAAAATATTTTTGGAATGTTATTCTTTATTCAGAATTTGTTAGGTTAGCAAGCACATAAGAAAATGCTTTTTTATTAGTTATTGGTGGATATCTTGCTCAAATTTTTTTTCCCTAAACTTTTATTAATCTGTATTGAGGATGTGTTATTTTCCTGTGTCTATTAGGCATTAAAGGATAAAAGTTGGCACTTAATTTGTTTTAATGTTTTTATTTTTGTGTGAGAGAGAGGGAGAGAGACATCACTATCTGAGCCAAAGTCAGGTGCTAAACTGACTGAGCCACCCAGGTGCCCCTAAAAGTTGGCATTTAGATATAAATATCTGGAGAAAAGCTCTGGGAAGAGTTGTAAATGTGAATTGTCAGAGCATAGTTAAAGCTGTAGGACTAGTATGATCACCTCAAGAAATTGACTAAAACTTCACCAATCCTTGGAAGAGAAATTGAAGGGGTCTGAAAAAAGTTTAAGGGGTACCCTAAGCACAGGAATCTAGGGGCACTCTGTGGGATGTATGTTAAGAATATTACTGATTGACTGTCAATTTGTTTATGAGCCACCTGCCTGCATAAAGTGTTTTAGGTTAATTTTTTTTAATTCCTTACTACTATTTTTTAATAATTTTTTAAAATATTTATTATTTTGAGGGAGGGAGGGGCAGAGAGAGAAGGAGACACAGAATCAGAAGTAGACTCCAGGCTCTGAGCTGTCTGCACACAGCCTGATGCTTAGGCTCGAACTCAGGGACCACGAAACCATGATCTGAGCCGAAGTTGGACACTTACCCAACTGAGCCACCGTGATGCCCATCCTCACTGCTATTTTAAAAAGTAATGTCTTTCACAAGAAATTGAATCTTTGTAAGATCACTGGTGTTTACCATTTTTTTCTTTTGAATTATTTAGTTATTATTTGACATATTTTCTTTTTTTTTTTTCTTTCTTCAGAGTAATGTGATTTTAAATCACTAAACATCGTGGTCATTTTCTACTTAATGTCCAGTTTGGTATATTACACTGATGTTCTTACCTACTTTGTAAGTATTATTGACTTTATAAGAGTCATACCAAATATCTTTTTCTTTTTTCCTCATTTCTAGGCAAATACTGTGGTCTGGGGTTGCAGATGAACCATTCCATTGAGTCAAAAAGCAATGAAATTACTGTGCTGTTCATGAGTGGAATCCATGTTTCTGGACGAGGATTTTTGGCCTCATATTCAGTCATAGATAAACAAGGTAATTTTCAACTTCATACCATGACTTACATATTTTACAATTTCTAAAAACAAATATGAAATATTTCTTTTAGTACTTGTCTGAGATTAGAGTAGAAAGACTGAACTTTTAAAAACACATCAATTTTACAAATAAAATTAGATTAGTTTTAGAATTCTAAAAATTAAAGGTATATTAACACTTATATTAATTCTGTATACTTTCCTTTCCATAGTAGAGGAAATACTGATTTTTCACTTTTATAAGATTGGAGCACAAATAACCTCTAACTTTTTAAAAATCTGTCATTTATTGAAATGTATGATATAAATTTAAAGCTTTGTTGTCCACAGTTTACCATTTCATAGTACTGTATTAAAGACTATATTACCATTCTTCTCAAAAGAATAGATTCTCATACTGCCAGGAGTATGCTGGGGAGTGCTGTCTGAAACGCTACAAAATAAACCTGAGATATTTTCTGGATGGTTAAAGTTTGTAATCTGAAGGGGGAAAAATTAAAACCAAGGCTATTAAGTGGAATAGAATGCAAAGTATACTTGAATTTCTAAGATAAAATGGAAAACTTGAACAAAATCTCCCATAAGTTTTTACTTCTGTGGCATGTATTTGTTTTCTCTGCTATTTTAGGGGCATTATGGTAAGAAAGTTCTAAGAAATGCTACCAGTGCAAGGATATCTCGAATAAAACAATCATTTAAATTAAAAAATAGGGGCGCCTGGGTGGCTTAGTCGGTTAAGCATCCGACTTTCGCTTAGGTCATGATCTCGTGGTTCGTGGGTTCGAGCCCCGCGTCGGGCTCTGTGCTGACTGCCAGCTCAGAGCCTGGAGCCTGTTTCTGTCTGTGACTCTCTCTCTCTCTGACCCTCCCCTGCTCACGCTGTCTCTCTCTCTCTCCTAGAAATAAATAAAAATATTAAAAAAAAAAAAAAAGATTTTAAATTAAAAAATAGATGATTATTTTGATATTCAACAATGATTTAACTAAGTTGATAATTAAAAATTTTAAAAAGCTGTTAACTTCAAGGGCCCTGGGTGGCTGGGTCAGTTGGTCACCTGACTTCAGCTCAGGTCGTGATCTCACAGTTTGTGGGTTTGAGTCCTGCATCAGGCTCTCTGCTGTCAGCACAGAGTCTGCTTTGGATCATGTGTCCCTTCCCACGCTTCTCTAAAAAATTATAAGATAACAATTAAAAAAAAACCTGTTACCTCATATTGTATAAATGAGATATAAACTTGAGAAGCTCCCAGGTGTGAGAGTGTTGGACACTGGGAATGACGGAGGGCCATGCAAACTATTCCCTTCTCAGCTCTGGTGGGTTTGAGATAACACTACAGGTCTCATTAGTAAGTGTTTAGAATGTGAGAGAGAAACACTCTGCTGTGGGAAGAAAGGTCTACTTTTCCCCCATTTCTAAGCTATGGCAGAAGGTGGGAAAGCTAATAAAACTCCTCTGAGAGAGTGAGAAAGAAGACTCATTTGAGTGGAATAATGAAAAGGAAAAAACTGGAAACATCATGCTAAACATGTTATGAAACCTGGTCTGGATCACCCGGCAGAAGAACCAAGCGGCGCTCAGAGATCTTGGAAGGCAGGAAGTTTATTTCACACCTGCGGGCTCAGAGGAGATCACTCTCCAGGGTCTGCCCCTGGGTTTAAGCAGAGGGAACAGTTTATAGTCTGTTACTTCCTCATTTCGCCTTAGTAGTAATTTGGCCTGCATGGCAAGTGGGGTAGGAAGAAGAACTTGGAAGGGGATTCTCTGTCAAGTCCTGTTGGCCATCTTATAACAGAGTTTCCCTATCAAACAAACAATATTTCTGATGGAACCAGAACAAATAAGGCCTGTGTCACTGTCGGAGGAGCACACCTGCCAGTGTCACGTGCCAGCCAGGGGATTTCTGGCCGCTCATTCACATCTATAGCATCCATGGCTTGGTCATGAGGACTGAGTCTAGTAATGCGCATGTGGTATCTGTAAGATACAGATACAGTTTTGCCAGAGGGCGCAAAACACGTTAGTTCTCCCTTTCACCACCATGCATGCACACATACTCATTTCCCCACCATCAAAAGAGTGAGCTAGAAAACAGAGAGAGATGAGGGTCCATTTCCATCCTTTCTGTTTTACTTCTTTAAAGTCTTGAGTTGACAGTTAAGAGGATAGAAAGTACTCAGTTCATTTGCTTCTTACTCTCCTTGAGTTTCCTCCTTTCAATATCAGCTTAAATCATTTTTTGCCTCATATTTTTCCCTTTCTCTCTTTGTTATTTATTGACTTGAAGGGTTCCTGAAAATACGTATCCCTTCCTTTAAAAAATGTTTTTTAATAGGGTATTTACGTTACGATGCTTTTTTTCCCTCACAGACACCTAAATGCTCTGCGTTAAAGATAAGAGAATCAGTATACTGTAGACTTACATATGTTTATGGAATCTCTAATGGCTACATCACCATTTTAGGCGAATCTTTGCTTCCAAAGTTTTTGAAATATCTACCATATTCAGGAACTTCTTTATAGTAACACTTTCCAGAGGCATAATTGTGGGAAATCCTCATTTCAAAGCTCTCCTGAGTTTTTGCCTCTGTTTCTGCATGTCCTTGCATCCTCCACGAAGCATTTGTTTGATTTGAAGTTAGAAGTGAATTGGCTAACTCCCAAGAGAACCCTGGTTGACTTTCTTACCATCTCTTCTTGGGTGGCCTTTCAGACAAAATTTTAATGACTCATTCATTTGAACACTGATTGGCTTTGATTGAGAGCTTCAGTTTGTTTCCACCCAGGAAACATGCTGCCACACTAATTTCTGTGAATATTTTCAAGGAACATCACTACACGTCACCAGCTTAGCATCCTAGTTAGAAATTTATACTATTTGGGAATGAAAAGATCATGAAAAATTTTGCTTCAACAGCTTCATTTGTTAAGCTCTCACAAACACCTGTTGATATTATACTATGTATTGTGGATAGAGCCATGATTTTGTGTGAGGTAGATGAATTTTCATTCCTTTATGCAAGAGCACATTGTGAAATTATATTCCCTTCAGTGCCTTATGTCCTGCAGTATGCTTGGCACTGGGAGAACAGCAGTAAATAAGACACAGTTATACCTTCATGGAGTTCACAGGGTTGAGAAAAGGCATTAAGCACATGGTAACTTGGGGCACCCAGGTGGCCCAGTCAGTTAAGCATCCGACTTTGGCTCAGGTCATGATCTCACGGTTGTGGGTTTGAGCCCTGCATCAGGCTCTGTGCTGATAGCTTGGAGCCTGGATCTTGCTTCAGATTCTGTGTCTCCCTGTCTGTCACTCCCCCACTCACATTCTGTCTCTCTCTCTTTCTCTCAAAAATAAACTCTAAAAAACTTTAAACACATGGTAACTCAATTGTAGTTGTAAGTATGATGAAGGAAACATTCTAACAAGAGAAGACCAGAAGAGTGGGAGGTGTGGAAGATGGATAAAAAGCCAAACTATTCTGAAGAAGTTACTTTTCAATGAGAACCAAAGGATTAATTGGGAGGTTCTAGACAGATAAGGAAGAAGAACATTCTAGGGAAGAGAACAGGAAATGCAAAGGCCCTGTAGAAGGAGCTTCGGAGGAGCTGGGAAGGAATCTGGCGCAGCTAACATGGAGTTGACTGCTTGGTGAGTAGGTTATGTTATTCAGGGCCTTACAGAAAATGTCACTGTTGGAGATTTTCCTAAGAGGACATGGAAGCTGTTAGAGCAGAGTAGCAATATGACTGGATTTGTGATTTTGTTTGTTTCTACGATCTTTCCTGCTCTGTGAATGAAATGAAGACAGAGAAGAATCATAGTAGGGAGTCCAGTTAAGAGGCTGTTAGAGGACACTGGGTCAGAGATGATTGAATTAAGTGTTCTTGTTATAAATATAACTCTAGAATTAAGCCAGATTCTAATTCTTTTTAATGACTTGAGAATCAGATATGTGTTCCGCAAGGAAACATTTTGGAGAATTAGGATTCTCCCTGCATGCGTTTAAGTGGTAGCAAGAGACTTGGATACAAAGAAGCCCTCTTGTGTGAATCTCTGAACTGCTGTGATGCTGGAGTTGTATCCAGGGCACTGCACCTGGTATCCTCTTGACTTTTGTGTCCAGTTTTCATAGCTTTTATAGTTTTATTACTCTGTTATTTTTAATGATCTTTGATCAGTAGTTTCCAATCTTTTCCATTACCAGTTATATCTCTTCACTTTTACCTATAAATTCCATTTTTGAAAGATTGTAAACACCAGTGAAAAGTTTTTCTGTGTCCCCATTGTGTAGCATGGAAGACAAAAATATTAACACATGCAGTAATTATTAGAGGACTGGTGTTTCTACTCTGAGTTGGCAGAATTCCATCATATTCCAGCTAGACTTTCTGCAGTTGAAGAAGTATGTAGACCCTAGAGACGTCTTAGACATTAGCAGCCGCTGATGCGAAGTTCCATAGAAGGAAACTCCCAAGTTTCAGCAGTCTTACTGAGAGAAGCAAAACGAGCTACTCAGAGGTCTAGAGTTAGTAAGTCAGAGCTTTTTGTCTAGTATCGTAACAAATGGTACTGACATTGCATTCTAAAATGTAAAATTAGAAATTGCATTTGCCTCTGGACTTGAAAATAAATTTTATAGGTGAGTGATTCCAAATTCCTGGTTTTGAATCTGTTCAACATTAACCAGCTTCTAGGACAAACTCAACATTTCTAGGATGACTCTGGGCAATGACTTTTTAAGTTATTTTAGTTATAGGACAAGGCGCTCAGAAAATACATCTACATTTGCATTGAAAGCTTCAGGTCCTTGAAGACAGCCTCTGTTCCGAGGCACCAATAATGACTCATCAGTCGGTGAGGGGAGCAGCCGCTTGCGCCCGTGTGTGTGAGCGCACAACTGAGAATTGATGGTCAGATCGTCCTTCTGTAGAACATGAATGCATCGCTTAAAAAATAACGTTAAACTTCTTTATTTTAGATTTTACCAGCCCAGAAT